GTTTTCATGGTTCTGTTTCCATTTTTTTATTTTTCGATTGTTCAATTTTTCGATTTTACGATATTTTTTTTATGTTTAGAGGTCTTAAGATCTCAGTTATTCCATTTTTAAATTTTTTTGGTTTTTCGATTTTTCAATTTTTCTATTATTTACAGATTTATCGAAATTTCGATGTTTTGATGTTTTGATTGCTCAACTTCTCGACTTTTTGATTTTTCAATGTTTAGGTTTGTCGATTTTCTTTTAATTTCAAGTTTTAAATTTTTAGTTTTTCATTTTTCGATTTGGACTAAAGTATTTCGATTTCCCAATTTTTTTATTTTTCGAATCTTCGACTTTTCGATTTTTCAATTTTATGATTTTTTTTGTTTCCATGTTTCCATTTTCTTATTTTTCGATTCTTCAATTTTTCGATTTTACGATATTTTTTATGTTTAGAATTCTTAAGATTTCATTTATTCCATTTTTAATTTTTGATTTTTCAAATTTTCTGCTTGCCGATTTCTCGATTTTTCAATGGTTAGGTTTGTCGATTTTTTTTTATTTTAACTTTTACATTTTTAGCTTTTCCATTTTTCGATTTCGATGTTTTAATTTCTCGGTTCTTCGAACCATCGAATTTTCGATTTCTCAATTTTTCGTTTTTTCTCATATTTCTGTCTCCATTTTCATATCTTTCGATTGTTCAATTTTTCGATTTTACGATATTTTTTTTTATGTTTAGAATTCTTAAGATCTCAGTTATTATTCCATTTTTAAATTTTTTTTTTTTGATTGCTCAATTTCTCGAGATTTCGATGTTCTGATTTTTTTATTGTTCAATTTCTCGATTTTTTTATTTTTCAATGTTTATGTTTGTCGATTTTCTTTTAATTTTAACTTTTAAATTTTTAGTTTTGCATTTTTTGATTTGGTCTAAGGTATTTCGATTTCTCAATTTTTAGGTTTTTCGAATCTTCGATTGTTCGATTTTTCAATTTTATGATTTTTTTGATGTTTCCATGTCTCCATTTTCTTATTTTTCGGTTGTTCAATTTTTCGATTTTACTATATTTTTTTATGTTTAGAATTCTTAAGATCTCATTTATTCCGTTTTTAATTTTTTTTAATTTTTGATTTTTCAAATTTTCTGTTTACCGATTTCTCGATTTTTCGATTTTTCAATGGTTAGGTTTGTCGATTTTTTTTTATTTTAACTTTTAAATTTTTAGCTTTTCCATTTTTCGATTTCGATTTTTTAATTTCTCGATTCTTCGAATCATGGAATTTTCGATTTTTCAATTTTTCGTTTTTTTTTTTTGTGGTTCTGTCTCCATTTTCTTATTTTTCGATTGTTCACTTTTTCGATTTTACGATATTTTTTTTTGTTTAGAATTCTTAACATCTCAGTTATTCCATTTTTAAATTTTTTTGGTTTTTCGATTTTTTAATTTTTCTATTATTTACAGATTCATCGAAATTTCGATGTTTTGATTTTTTGATTGCTCAATTTCTCGATTTTTTGATTTTTCAATGTTTAGGTTTGTCGATTTTCTTTTAATTTTAACTTTTAAATTTATAGTTTTTCATTTTTCGATTTGGACTAAGGTATTTCGATACCCAATTTTTTGGTTTTTCGAATCTTCGACTTTTCGATTTTTCAATTTTATGATTTTTTTTTGTTTCCATGTCTCCAATTTCTTATTTTTCGGTTGTTCAATTTTTCGATTTTACGATATTTTTTTAAGTTTAGAATTCTTAAGACCTCATTTATTTCATTTTTAATTTTTTTTTATTTTTGATTTTTCAAATTTTCTGTTTACCGATTTCTCGATTTTTCGATTTTTCAACGGTTAGGTTTGTCGAATTTTTTTTTAACTTTTAAATTTTTAGCTTTTCCATTTTTAGCGTTTCCATTTTTCGATTTCGATTTTTTAATTTCTCGGTTCTTCGAATCATCGAATTTTCGATTTTTCAATTTTTCGTTTATTTTTTCATCGTTCTGTCTCCATTTTCTTATTTTTAGATTTTACGATATTTTTTATGTTTAGAATTCTTCAGATCTCAGTTATTCCATTTTTAAATTTTTTTGGTTTTTCGATTTTTCAATTTTTCTATTATTTACAGATTTATCGAAATTTCGATGTTTTGATTTTTTGATTACTCAATTTCTCGATTTTTTGATTTTTCAATGTTTAGGTTTGTCGATTTTCTTTTAATTTTAACTTTTAAATTTATAGTTTTTCATTTTTCGATTTGGACTAAGGTATTTCGATTTCCCAATTTTTTGGTTTTTCGAATCTTCGACTTTTCGATTTATCAATTTTATGATTTTTTTAATGTTTCCATGTCTCCATTTTCTTATTTTTCGCTTGTTCAATTTTTTGATTTTACGATATTTTTATTATGTTTAGAATTCTTAAGATTTCATTTATTCCATTTTATTTTTTTTTAATTTTTGATTTCTCGATTTTTCGATTTTTCAATGGTTAGGTTTGTCGATTTTTTTTATTTTAACTTTTAAATTTTTAGCTTTTCCATTTTTCGATTTCGATTTTTTAATTTCTCGGTTCTTCGAATCATCGAATTTTCGATTTTTCAATTTTTCGTTTCTTTTTTATGTTTCTGTTCCCATTTTCTTGTTTTTCGATTGTTCAATTTTTCGATTTTACGATTTTTTTTTATGTTTACAATTTTTAAGATCTCTGTCATTCCATTTTTAAATTTTTTTGATTTTTCGATTTTTCTATTATTTACAGATTTATCGAGATTTCGATGTTTTGATTTTTTGATTGCTCAAAATCTCGATTTTTCGGTTTTTCAATCTTTAGGTTTGTCGATTTTTTTTTAACTTTTAAATTTTTAACTTTTCCATTGTTCGATTTTTACTTCCCGAGCGTAAGCGGGAAGTATTGTAATCAAGTCTATCGGATGAATAGCCACTTTCATATTTTTTCGACGTTTCATGACCACTACAGTACGAAGAAATGGGTCTTCCGTTTCCGTCTGTCTGTCCATCTGTTAAATTTTGTATTTATATTAGGAATATCACGTAAATTTGTCTAATCATCGCCACCAGTAATGTGATGACGTCACTTCAAAATTGTGTAGTTTCTGATTTCGTGTTGAGTTTCTACCCGAAACGTCCAGGTTTTTGGAAAAAAATAAAAATTATAAAACCATTCGACCTGATCAGACCTGATTTAATTTGACTTGATTTGACTTGACCTCATCTGATCTGATTTGAAGCTGACTTGACTTGACCTGACTTGATCGGACTGAGTTGATAGAATATGATCTGATTTAATTTGATACAATTCGACCTGATCAGACTTGATTTAATTTGACTTGACTTGACTTGACCTGATCTGATCTGATTTGAAGCTGACTTGACTTGACCTGACCTTTTTAACCTGACCTGACCCGACCTGATTTAACCTGACGAGACTTATTAGAAGGAATTTCATTTTAACCTTAGAATGATATTAGAACGACATATCACCTGACCTGATCTGATCTGACTTAAGTTGATCAAATATGACCTGACTTAATCTGACTTGACTTGACCCTGTTTGCTTTGCAATCAGACCACCTGTTGCCCTTGGAACATGACCAGTGTCAAAAAATTCGAAATTACAAGCGAGTGAAGCGAACTACGACCTGCATTGTGTTATTTCTTACAACGAAGCTACTTTTTGTCGGCGAAATTCTTTAGAGAGCTATTCTTGTATAAAATTTGAAGCGACGTAATGTTTTGTCGAGATTTCTTACGTGAACACTAGCGAATTCCTTTAAAAATTGTTGTCTGTTGTCCGTTTGTTCCACATTAGTTGCTTGTTAGCTTCTGAACGTCACTGCCTCCTCTCAACCAAAAAAAAAAAAGATTTATTTAGCGATTTCGAACCGAGCTTCGGATGCCATTGTCCGTCGTAATAATAAAAGCTTCTCTGATACGAATATGTGTAATTCCGCGTGAGGGTCAAACCGCGATCCACTCCTCCTACGATAAATAATAAAATAATCGCGAAATTAATTTGTATGAGGTTGAGCGGCTGCTGCTCATAATTGAATCTACCTTCGTCAACTTCTAAGTTAATTAGACAGAAGTAGAGTAATTTTAGAAATTGCCAAAATTGTTGGGATCCACCTTAATAACTCAACCGGATGTTCTCGGCGCTCGCTTGCATCCCGAAAAATCTATTTTTCCGCGCCAGTCCGCCCAAATTTAAAATTCAATGCCGTTCTAACAATTCTAACCGAAATTGATTCTAGTTAAGCGGAATTTATGAATAGATACCTTATATTAAAAAAGTTTGCGTCACTTTTGCCGAAACCAATTTTGCGCCCTCAAAATACAAGGAAGAAGTTATATGTCGTTATTGGGAATAAAGTTTCCGATGTATTCACTTCTGTCGCGTTCGAGCTCGGTGTTTACTTTATTTTTGCGTTGTCGCGGTATCTGGAATTAATTGCGAGTGCTGTAGTAGCCGGAAACATCGACGCAATAATCTTGCAAGCTGCTTTGCGAGGGCTCTTACTTTCCCGGAGTTGATGTAAGTGGCATTAAATGTGAATTTACTACAATAAGGGAATATTTGAATATGAAGGAAAAGTGCACTCGAGTCGTACAGATCTCCAGTGCAAGAATAAGCCGTCAAATTAGATGAAGTAGAACAGAAGAAACAGTGTTATGCGATTAGACATAATTACGAATTTATTTACATAACACAGACGTGGAACACTTTACACTTCGCGTCACGTTATTTTCACATTTCATTAGGCAGCTTGCCTTGCTAATGCGTGAGAGTTGGAGTATGTTTTTGGAAATAAATTAGAAACGACGTTGGAATTCTACGCAGGGCGACCTCCTCTGCATTCGGCCGCTATTAGCATCGATCGTGAAGTGTGTGTTTTTCAAAACTCAATTTAGAACTAAAAAAAGAAATAACAAAGTTTGTAAGTAGCATGCAGCCAACATCTAGCGCCCGAATCAAGCATTCTAATCGAGTCTTTTTTTACAGGTTCTACGGACCACCAAGTCTGTAAGTACAGTTTTGACGGGGTTGTTGTTGAGACCGAGTATCTCATCCTTCGAAACCACATTAACAAAGTTCTACAGATTGCATTGAGATTATGCACATTTCTGGGTTCGTGTAAACTAGTCGCTAACTAACCAGATTTGGTTAGAGATCATTGTCGAAATTGCGACGGGTTCTGTCGACGGTTAAAGTTTGTTTCCTGTCGTCGGTTGGTTAACCTGATCCCCCTGAAATACCTGCGTTTTGTACGGGTTTCATTTATGGATGCTTAATGATTTAATTCGGAGCAATTATGACGGGATTATTTACATTTTGCGCTTCTGCCACGAACTTGAGGGAACTAGGGCGTGAGATTTTTTTTTAGGTTTAGACAGGCAAGTTTGAAGTAGGCGCCATTTGCTGCCCTGAATTACCTGAGTTGAGATGAGTAAGGGATTCAACAAATAAACTATTTGCTAAAGAAAGATCTATGAAGTAACTGTCGAAAATTATTATCGCACACAAAAGTATTGTTGATACCCAGCAGCGAGGGTTTTAGACTACTCAGTCTCCTAACTGCAGGTTTCCATAATCCCTAAACACTGAAATAAAATAAAGGATCCAAATTTTCTGGCTTAATTAATTTTACAATTTTTTGATTCTGTAATTTTTCAGTTAGTCCAATTTTCCTTCTGCATTTTTTCGTTTCGGTTTTTTATTTTTTTTTATTTTCATATTTTTGGATTTTCCGATGTTACGTCTTATAATTGTTTTTTCTATTCCAATTCTTTGTTTCAATTTGTTATTTTCTTTGTTTTTTCGAATTTTCAATTTTTCAGTGTTTTGATTTTTAATTTTTGTTTTTTTAGTGCGAACTTTTTCAATTCATCGATTTACAATTTTTGGTTTTATCAATTTTAGATTTCTCAGTTTCTCGATTTTTCAATTTTTCATTTCTTTAATTTTTACTTTGCAATTTCTTTAATAATTTGTAAAATTTTCCACTTATTCAATTTTGCAATTTTTGAAATTTTCCATTTTTTAATTACTGGATTTTAAAACTTTTTCATTTATTCAAGTTTATTTTTCAATTTCTCGACATTAATTTTTTAATTTTTCGATATTTCAATGTTATGTTTATCGAATTTACAACTTTGAGGATTTCGTAATTTTCCGATTTTACAGTTTTTGGGTTTTCCAGTTTTTCGATTCAATTCATTTTTTCTTCTTTCCAATTTTTTGGTATTTGGTTTAAATGTGCAATAATAATCAAATCTTAAAAAAAAATTCCATTTTTCAATTTTGGTATTTTAGAAGTTTTCCATTTTTCAATTATTGGATTCTAAAGCTTTTTCATTTATTCAAGTTTGCTCAACATTTAATTTTTTAATTTTTTGATGTTTCAATGTTATGTTTTTCGAATTTACAGCTTTGACAACTCCATAATTTTCCGATTTTACAATTTTTGTGTTTTACAATTTTTCGATTCGATTCATTTTTTCTTCTTTCCAATTTTTGATTCATTAATTTTTTCGATTTTCGACTTTCTAGATTTTTTCTTGTCTTTAGTTGTTCTAATTTTCGATTTGTAGTTTTTCGTTGTTTCAAAAAGTTTCCAAAAAAGAATGGTTAAAATTGGTTCAAACGACTGAAAATTGGTGTCGAATTGTATGTAATTTTCTGCTAGTTACAAATCCGAAATCACCTTCACGATATCTATTGCAATAAAGGTAAAATATGATTCCAAAATTTTCCAAAATTTTCAAAAAAAACGCTTAAAATTGGTTCAATTTGCAATTTTTCGGTTTTTCAACTTTTAGATTCTTTAATTTTTCGTTTTATCAATTTTAGATTTCTCAGTTTCTCGACTTTTCAGTTTTTCATTTCTTTAATTTTTAGTTTGCAATTTTTCTAGTATTTGCTCTAAATATGTAATAATAACCATAATTTTTAAAATTTTTCACTTTTTCAATTTTGCGATTTTAGAAGTTTTCCATTTTTCAATTTCTCGAGATTTAATTTTGCAATTTTTTGATGTTTCAATGTTATGCTTTTTTTGATGATTTCATAATTTTCCGATTTTACAATTTTTGGGTTTTCCAATTTTTCGATACGATTAATTTTTTCTCTTTTCCAATTTTTTGAGCAATTAATTTTTTTCGATTTTTAACTTTTTCGATTTTTGGATGCTGCTATTTTTCTCGTCTTCAGTTTTACGATTTTTCAATTTTTCCTATCTTTTAGTTTGTCGATTGTTCAATTTTTTGGTTTGTAATTTTTCGATTTATATGTAATTTTTCGATTTTTCAATCTTTTAGTTTTTCGATTTTTCAAAAATTTTCCAAAAAAAAAAATGGTTAAAATTTGTTCAACCGACCGAAAATTGGTGTCAAATGTTGGATCATCTTCCGCCAGTTAAAAATCCGAAATTGCCGGGACGATATAAGTTTCAATAAACACGAAAATTGAATTCAAAATTTCCAGAAAATTGTCAACAAAATGCCTAAAATGGGTTCAATCGACTGAAAATTGGTGTTAACCTGTATATAATTTTCCGCCAGTTGCAAATTTGAAATCGCCGTCATGACATCTTTTCCAATAAACACGAAAAGTGAAATCAAAATTTTCAAAAATTTTCCAAACAAATCAATAAAATTGATTCAATCGACTGAAAATTGGTATCGAATTGTAAAAATTTTTCGCCAGTTACAAATCCGAAATCACTTTCACGACATCTAATGCAATAAAGGTAAAATATGATTACAAAATTTTCAACAATTTTCCAAAAAAATGCTTAAAATTGGTTCAATTTGCAATTTTTCCGTTTTTCAACTTTTGTTTTCTTTAATTTTTCGTTTTATCAATTTTAGATTTCTCAGTTTCTCGATTTTTCAATTTTTCATTTCTTTAATTTTTAGCTTGCAATTTTTCTAGTATTTGCTTTAAATGTGTAATAACAATTACTATTTAAGGAAACATAATTTTCTCAATTTTGCGATTTTAGAAGTTTTCCATTTTTCAATTTCCCGAGATTTAATTTTTCGAATTTACAACTTTGACGATTTTATAATTTTCCGATTTGACAATTTTTGGTTTTTCTAATTTTTCAAATTCGATTCATTTTTTCTTCTTTCCAATTTTCTGATTAATTAATTTTTTTGGATTTTTAACTTTCTCGATTTTTGGATTTAGCTATTTTTCTTGTATTCAGTTTCACGATTTATCAATTTTTCCCATCCTTTAGTTTGTCGATTTTTCAATTTTTCGATTTGCAATTTTTCAATTTGTATGTAATTTTTCGATTTTTCAATTTTTTTGTTTTTCGATTTTTCAAAAATTTTCCAAAAAAATGGTTAAAATTGGTTAAATTGATCCAGAATTAATTGGTGTCAAATTGTAGATAATCTCTTGGAAGTTAGAAATTTGAAACACGAAAATTGAATTAAGAATGTTCAAAAATTTTCCAAAAAAAATGATTAAAACTTGTTCAATCGACCGAAAATTGGTGTCAAAAGTTGCATAATCTTTCGCCAATTACAAATCCGAAATCGCCGGTACTAGATAAGTTCCAATTAACACGAAAAGTGAATTCAAAATTTCCAAAGAAATAAAAAAAAATGGCTAAAATCGGTTCAATCGACTGCAAATTGGTGTCAAATTGTAGACAATTTTCGCCCATTTACAAATCCAAAATTGCCTTCACGATGTACGGTGAAATAAAGGGAATATAGGGTTCCAAAATTTTCAAAAATTTTCCGAAAAAATGATTGAAACTGGTTCAATCGACTGAAAATTGGTGTCAAATGGTAGATAACCTTCTACCAGTTATAAATCTGAAACCGCCGTCACGATATCTATTCCAATAAATACTAAAAGTGTATTCAAAATTTTCAGAAATTTTCCAAAAAAATGATTAAAATGGGATGATTCGACCGAAAGTTGGTGTCAAATTTTAGATAATCTTCCACTATGCACAAATCTGAAATCGCCGTCGGGATATCTGTTCTAGTAAATACGAGAAGTGAGTTCAAAATTTTGAAAAAATTTTCAAACAAATGGTTAAAATCACTTCGATCGACTGAAAATTGGTGTCAAATTGTAGATAATGTTCCACCAGTTTTAAATCTGAAATCGTCGTCAGGATATCTGTTCTAATCAACACGAAATGTGAATTCAAAAGTTTCAAAAATAAAAAAAAAGTCAAAATTGGTTCAATCGACCGAAAATTGGTATCAAATTGTGGATAATCTTCCGCCGGTTACATATCTGAAATTGCCTTCACGACATATGGTGAAATAAAGGTACGGTTCCAAAATTTTCAAAAATTTTTCAAAAAGATGGTTAAAATTGTTTCAAACCACTGAAAATTGGTGTCAAATTGTAGATAATCCTGCACTAGTTACAAATTCAAAATCGCCTTCACGATATCTACTGAAGTAAAGGTAAAATATGTTCCCAATATTTTCAAAAATTAAAAAAAAATATTTAAATGGGTTTCAGTCGAACGGAAATTGGTGTCAAATTCTAGACAATTATGATATCTGTTCCAATAAACACGAAAAGTGAATTCAAAATTTTCAAAAATTTTCTAAAAAAATTGTTAAAATTGATTCAATCACTCGAAAATTGGTGTCAGATTGTAGATAATAATCTTTCGCCAGTCACAAATCTGAAACCGTCGTCAGGGTATATGTTCCAACACACACAAAAAGTGAATTAAAATTTTCAAAAATTTTCCAAAAAAATGGGTAAAATTTGTTTAATCGAACGAAAATTGGTGTCAAATTTTTGATAATTTTCCGCCAATTGTAAACTCAAGATCGCCGGTACGATATAAGTTCCAATAAACACAAAAAGTGAATTCAAGATTTCCAAAAAAATTTTCAAAAAAAGACTAAAATGGGTTCAATTGACCGAAAATTGGTGTCAAACTGTGGATAATCTTCTGTTAGTTAGGAATCTGGAATCGAAAAGTGAATTAAAAATTTCCAAAAAAATTAATAATTCTAAAAGTCTAACAATAA